TTTTTTTTTGTGTTGAATGATGTTTGATACAACATATTTCATAGTTTTCAAGTGCTACTGAATCCTGACTTTTGAAAGTGCTATGATCAGTGGTTAGTGATCATCATACAGTGTAGTGATTGAACGCTTTAAGTCCTTTTTTCATTATAACTTGTATGTTCAAGAAAGATGGCTGTAGACTATTGTTTCGAGTTTTAGAGGAAGGTAGGAATGTCGTGAAAATTTTCTCAGTAACTGCTTTCTATCCGAAAATGAAGGAGAATGATTGAAAAGTTCATCCAATATTTTGGCGCAATGAAGTTTATTTGAAAAACGCTTTTTCAAGCGCACTTAACTCGCAGATATTAAAAGCATTAGTTTTGAATAAATAATATGCTTATTTCTGATTCTATCTCACTTCCTCAATGGAGAAAAGGCACTTTATCAAGCGAATAAAAATTGTAAATTGATGCCGTTGCCATGCTTGGTAATTACATTAAATCGAAGCTTGTGCATCTTCTTGGATCTGCTATGTTTTATTAAAATTTTTTGGGTGATGCGCAGAGTTTTAAAAATATATCGCAGTGTTGCAAATAGAAATTTCTTGCAAGACGCAAAGAATCCAAAGCTTCTCAAAAACTGCTCAATATGTATTAATTTCCAAACATTTGCTTGCTGGACCGTTGCTGTTGTTTTTTCTCAAGTATGGCCACCTACAAATGTTTACCAGAGGCTAGTGATAAGAGATTGCGGCCACCTATATCGTTTTCAAGAGTTTTTGCCCCAGTTTGTTCTGTCAGAAATAGAATTTCTGCTTACAGTGAATGAATCCCTCCCTGAAAAAGATCCAATGGCATGTATCGTGTGTGGTGATGTTGCTACTGGACGTCACTATGGTGCTATTGCTTGTAATGGTTGTAAAGGTAAAGATTAATATCACTTTATAATTTTCTTTGGATAGAGATTTTTTCAAACCGTATCGTACTGTCTAATTTCAAAATTTATAATATACTTATTTGTGATTTTTTCAAGGGTTTTTTCGACGAACAATTCGACGAGGCTATAAATACACTTGCCGATTCAAATCTGAATGCTTTATTGACAAACGTAAGTATCTTGATTTGATTTCCTGTTAATTGCACTTTCAATCAATAATTCTATCAATTATTTTATTTGGGGAGGGGCCATATTAGCCTATTAATCGAGTTTTCCATTTGAAATATTTATAAGTATGAATTTAAACTAATATGCGAAAGATCGCTACCAGACATGCGCTGGATTAGTTTCCTTATTGTTGTGTGCAATTGCACAATTTTATGGTTATAGTTGGCATAGGCTCAGATATGTTTGATATGTTTACTTTTTCCGGTTTCCTTCGTCGTTTGAACAAATTCTTTTGAGAAAAATGATTGATCTCATTTCTGCACTTTTGATCTGGTAATAAGGTGACGTTCCGGTTAACTCCTGAAAATCGTGTAATTGCACACATCGGCCAGAAAACCTAAACTCTCGACTGTGTGACTCCTTTTTGTGTTATGTAAATTCGTTTTTTTTT